TATTTTAACGTAATTAAGGTTCGAATATCATAAACAAACAGTATTTTCTATCCCAGTACACTTATGTACGTAATTCTACACTGCGTAATATTAGGCGGTGAGGAAATAATGTTTATTCTGAGAACCACGGACAGTATAAATCGGTATGCGGTGATTATGGCCTATATTTCTAGAGCAATGTTTGGAAGCACGAAAATTGATGGGTATGATTTGGGATACATTTGTTTTAATCCTTAATCAGAAACACAAAATAACGCTTGAAATGAATTTAAAATGGTTCAAGAGGAATTATTCCCCTTTTAATAATTATTTTCATTGGTTTCATTAAGACCAATTAATCTGTTGACCAAACTAAAATGATATTCGAGAAAACAATGTTTCTAGTTACATTTTTTAATGTATCAGTATATTCCACCAGACCTATTTCTCTTACAACAACATGAATGTTAAATATCGTCATCAATGAATTTAGTAACAGTGGTGCATACTTTCAATTACTTAATTTAAACAACGTCACTGTCTCTTTCTCCAAAATCGAATGTGTGGGTGAGTGGAGAGCGGCCAGGGTTAAACATTTGTGTGCTTAGAACAGAAATTAACTAGTCTCACCATTAAATCTTGATTGACATAATATCTGACTCTGTACAACGAAATGAAGAGTAATTCAGCTCCGATCATTATATGACAGTGTGAACAGAATTTGATTAGCAGCAATTCTTTGAGTGATACTTAACAATGCGCCTACTCGTGGGGAAGTCAATCGTCACGGAACTTCAATTTCCCGAATAGCGTTAATATTTTATAGCGAAAACCCAGAGCGAAACGAAAGGAATATGATATGTTGGAGAGATGAAGCCGTGAAATCACAAACGCATCGCAATTGTTTGGAGCTGCCGCTTCCGGATGTAATGCGTAAGTTTTTTCAGAAACAGCCGCGAGCCGCTGGACCCTAGGATTAGCGGGCATGTGAAGCGCGTTCAATATTCAACCATGAGCCGCCCCTAATAGCGGTCTACTAACGAACGATGTATCATAAATTTACAAACAAACGTATAAAATATTTAATTTATTCATAAAGCCACTCGTTCGCGCTACAATATATTAATTACACATATTAAACCGTTATTCATGTATGAAAATACGATTATATTAACATGTAATTTCTTCATTTCGTATTAATTAAATTTTCCGCGCAACCGTTCGTCAGTGCGCGAATCTAATTAGGCAAATCTGGCGCGCAAAACTTGTGATGAGGTGGGCGGCCTGCCAGAAAATAGAGGTGCGCCCCCAAAATTGCAGAGAGCAGCCTCTCGTAACGTGTAGCTTTGGCTTGCCAAACAAATGAAGCTTCACTGCGTAGAGGGCGCTCGCGATGATTTCGGAATTTTTGTTTTCAATTACTCTAATGTGTATTTAATGCGATGTAATTGGAAAAGAATCTCTACTTTGATGATTTTGATCGTTTTGACAGGCGAATTGAGGTGGTGAGTTAGTAGGTATTTAGTAGGTCGAATGAATGGCATGAAAATGAACTCGAGTTTTAACAAATCAATCCCACATACACATCGCTTAATGTAGTTGAGTATGATAAAAAAAGAACACATTATTGTGAACAAGATATCTCATTAAAATATGTATTGTTGATGAATAAATAATCGATTTTTAAAAGTTCATTTGCATATGTATTAAACAAATATTAAAAGTATTAGCATTCTTTATATCGAATCTTATATGTCATTATGTAAAACAATTAATAAAGCTTTTGTAAAAATTTAAACATATCCTTTAGACTTTCAAAGATTCCTGTCTTTCCGAAAGTGTGAAAGGGAATAATGAAAAACTAATTATCTCCTTTTAATACTTGACTAGGTAAAGTACCTCTTATCGCACTTTTTTGAACATTTGATCGAGGGATACAGTGTTATAACATGTCCGATAAAACATAATTATAGTTGAAAAATTATTCACAACTAAAAAAATTTCCTAAACACGAAAGAGACTTTAGATATCATTATTTCAGTTACATCAATTTTTGTACGCCTAGGTAATGAAAACCAGATTGTTCAACTTCAAGAAATGTTATTCATTTTCATTATCGTAGTGAAAACTATTGAATGATTATTGCAGAACTTTCACCACTTACTTAGTTCATATTGTTATGTATATTCTCTTTTATACTTATATAATGATAAAACCAGACATTCGTTTATATACTTCCGTTTATATTCTCGTCCCAATCGTTCCAAAAATCGAAACATATTTTTTCGTACACGTTCGTTTCGACTCTGTTTCCCCCAAGAACCTCCACAAAGGCAACAACAAAAATAAATATTAGGACATGTATACATGCAATATTAGAACACACAGTATTTAATATTTTCTTGTAGATTTACATCAAAATATTAAATAAAGTAAGCGAGTGTTAAGATTTGTATACTTAATAAATAATTGAGGCAAACTGTCTATCAGTGAAAAGCTAGTTTTAAAAAAAACGCAGATGAACGTTTGTACCGCTCTTACATAACATCATTGTCAAGTTTAACATCAAATTGAAATAATTGATGACATAATAATTCAAGAATTATTTCACAAAGTATGTATTAAGTAATTCGTGTGACATATTTCAACATAGTTTATAATAGTACTTATGTGTATGTTTTCCAACGAACAAAAACTGCTCTTCACAAAAAGTGAAAAATAATAGAACAATGCAATATACGATGTGTAGGGAAATAAATAGATTCAAAGACATGCAACGTTTAGGTGCAAAACACATGTTAAGGAAATCATTTGAATTTCCTCCCTAACACATTCAAGTCAATTCCTGTTTGGGGGAGACATGAAGACAGGAAGATCTATAACATCTTTGACTTTTGCTAGCTTAATCATATTATATGGGACCTGTCTCAAGGTAATATTTAGGTTTCAATTCCTTGTCAACCATATTTGAAATGTTATGTAAATTCTCAGTGTAAGTTGTAGAACACAGCAAAGAACCAACCTTGATGTACTGAATTTGGATATATTTCTGGATATGAAGATATTTCTCTTTTCTTCACGACATAGAAACCAATACAATAACTTATAATACAATAACTTGCAGAGGAGACCACGACAAACCCCTAATGCCATGAGCTGTTCGTGGGTATGATGTTTCAAATAATTGAATAACTTAGGTAAGTGCTGTCACATCAAAACCAAACTTCCAGAGGTTGTAGAACACGATGTGGAGGTTCATTGCATCTCCGGAAAGGAGACTCATAGGCTAGCAGGCCCTTTGTGAGGAGATCGCCTCAATTATAACTCCATACGGTGACGCGTTAGGAATTGTGTCCATAGGGGAAGTAACACTTCCACTTCTTAGTACACACCTCTCACATCTTGTCTATTTTGTTATTTAATACACATTTAATTTAGTTTGTCCCAGTCTTGTTTATTTTATTGTAACAATTTCTTCAAGCAAAAGTCTTACCAATCATTAATTACGGTATTGATATCATTTGAAAAAAAAACTCACTATACGAAATCTGTACGACCTGGAAAAAATGCATGCCACGTTTCTAAAACAAGCATTAGGCATATCTATATGAACAAGATCTAGACTGGCATAAGTACTTTCTCAAGAAGCATTCTTGATAGAGGATCTGAGACTATAATTCCTCTCGCCATCAACTAACGCAGCGGAACCAATCCCTCAAAGCCTGAACAGGAAAAGAAGAAATATGTCCAGTTTGTACACTTCTGAAGCAATGTGCAACAGAAACTGGATGTCGGCAAATTACGAGATGCGTCACGTGGTCACAAGGTCCATAGTGCGTGGTTTTTACCATCTGGTGAGTAAACGGAAGACTACTTTTACCATGTGTAAATTGAAGACTTTCCACGATCCAAAGGAAACCTGAGTGTGCGAATTCTGCTGAAGCGCCTGTGATCGATACCACATCCAGCAATGTAACGAAAGACGGCTGTCAATTAATTATTTTACTGTCTTATTCTCTGTAAATGGATTGCACACATTTTTAGTTTAATAAAAGTAACGTATAGTAACACCACAAACACATCAACAACGGCCACGTAGTACGTAATTTTCACTTTGAAAACTTACTGAATTAGATCAAACTGACAAATTTGCAAAGTGTAAGTAATTTTCGGTAAAATAAATATTTCTATAAAAATAACAATGCTTAGAGGCGCATGGGATGAAAACAAAATGGACGTGGCTGTAACTAAGAAACGAAAGTAACAAGAGAAGCAATAAATGGAAGACGCCCGGGGGAACTAATCACCTTAAGGTTCCTCCTTCATTCGTGACCTGTACTTTTGCAAATATAAGATCTACAACCAACAATAAATACTTTTAAAGGAACAAATATTATAAAAACGACATATTGAAGAATTATTTCTTTGAAAAATACCTTTGTGAAGGGCTCAAGGGAACTCGAAAAGCTGAGAGTAAGGACACGTAATTAAACTAAAATAAAAACATACTTCTCTCATTCTTATAATGTTTGACTGCAAGAGTGGGTGTTGTACAAGGTAAGCAAAGCAACAAATGTTACAAATACATTTCTCTCATTAGTAACTTTGGCAGTCTATTTAATTTTCAGCATTCTTCTGTAAGCTCACATGTTATATGTTCTCCTCTTTTCTGGACTTCTTCCTATATTCAAGCCTCGGGTGCAAGAAGAAGCACACAACACACGAACTACAAGTTCATAATTATGCATTTCTCAAATCCCTCCTTCAGAGTATCAACAACATATTTCTACTGTAGGCATACTTCGACATTCGAAGTTTTTAGATATGTCTTTTTTCTTAAATCTTCAGAAAGAACAGTTCTTAAATATTTTAACTTCTTTACCTATTCATTTTTATTTATGTCTTATATAATATTCCACTGCTTGGTTTTTCATCTGCCAACCTTATTTAGGTTTTCTTGATATTTACGTTTTCATGAAACCCCTTTTCTAAAATACGAACAGAAATCATTTATTGAGTACCTTTGGTTGTTCTGCAGCTGCTGCTTCCAGAAGTTCACTGGCTGCTGCGCCAAATGGCAAGTGACGGTGGACGGACTGCCAGTTCCATTCAACCCGTGCAGGAACATCACGCCTTTGTGTTCCCCGTGCTGTCATGGCGCCATCAGGTGTAAATGGATGCAGGGCAAACCACTGTAAATGCATCACGTCACCATCACGATGAGCGAGTGGAAAGAGAGGAAATTGAAGGAGACTAACGAGAAGAAAAGAAAGAAGAAGAAGGTAGGTGTGCGAAAAGAATAACTGTGCTACATGCTCTGCCCATGGATGACGATCCGATAGAAAACACACTGATTTTGTACTTCTGTTCATTCTCGAATAAATAACACACACTCATACTTTCTCTTAAAAACATGGTAAAGCAAAATGTTTATTTATTATCATTATAGGTTTCCGAAACATCGTTTGGCTTTCTGTTTCGCCTGAGAAAATTATACCAGACTCAAACTTTATTACTGTTATTCATCCTCTTACTTTTAAAATTATTTACAGTTTTAATTCAATAATACATACCAGTACCTCCCATTATTGGAGGAGTTCAAATGAGAATGTATTTTCATTTCTCAACATGACATAAACGTCAAACACCAAAAATTCACGCGATAAAATGGGACTTTGTCATCCTTTCAATTACTAAAATAATAATTCTAACAACTCGAAATGTCAAATATCTGGATTTTGTTTCACAATATGAGTAGAAAATGAATAAATTCTTAATGACTCTTCAAGAATTATATTCAGAATTTAAAAAATGCTTTTGTTTCAACTACATGTATCCGAATGTAGTGCGATACATCTTCATCAATTGAAAACTTGAGACAATTTGGTGCATATTTTCACCTTCGGTATGTTATTAAATGTCTTGAAAAACCCTTAATAAGTTTATATTTCATTTTATATATATATACTGATACTTGAATTTGAGATTTTTATTACAAGAAGAATAAAAGAAATGGAAATAATCTTAGGATTTGTGTTCTTTCAAATCTGAAAATTATAATTATTACAATTTTCTTGCGCAATAAATCCTAATTACCTTACACTTTATATTTTTATATAATATTTTAAAATGTGCAACAAAATTAGAATTTATTAAGCAAAAGATCACCATTACACATTTATATTTCTTTCTTACAAAACAAAACATTAGTTCATAAATCACCGACAGGTGTAGGCAAAGCTCTTCTGATAGTCGGCTGCACAGGTTATCTCTCCAAAATTTGAATTCAAAAATTAAAATCTAAATGTATTGAAAAATTTGGTTGAGAAATTACCAAAAAATGCACTCTAAAGTACTTGATGTGTAAAATATTGTGTTCCAGAAGTTTCGACTGGTGATGCAAAGTCAGGCCACGAAGGGCGAAAAGCATTTCCTTGTTCCCGAGAACCGTCACTCAAGATGGAAAGCAAAGCAAGAAGATCTGGCCGTCATTACAAAGAACGCCGTGTCTGAGGGGGAGTGTGAATATTGGATTAAGAGGCAACATAAGAACTTGCACGTCCACATCACATAACGACATTGTGAAATTTCTGTAACTCACTGTTTTTCAACCTGTAGATCTTCACAATAAAACGCTTTTCATTGATTTTTTTCTTTTCATTTAATTCTAGTCTCGATCATTCTTGATTTTCCAGATACGTCAGTTCTAAGTATAAATACTACAATCATGACATTAATGACTTAAAATTACTTTTTTAATTTAGAGTGTTATAATACATTTTTTATGATAGAGGATTTTTTTCAAAATTTAGCAACTGGATTTATCCACTTTTTCGTTACCAGAGCCCAGTAATAAGAGATTTCTGCTAGAAATTCGTTTTCCTCCCCACGGCATTACATAACTTTCTTTCTACCGCGTTGGCCGTAGCGAGAAAGAGAAGTGAATTCAACAACATATAATGTAAATCGATGCCAAAGACTGTAGTGAACGTTTTTACAAGCTCTTCTTTAGGGCACTCGCAGTGTCCTTGCAAGGTTCGTTAAAGATTAATACAATACAATGCAATACAATTGTAGAAAATAATTTAAATAATACGTTGGTAGATGCGTAACGATGATTATTTTGCGCCGCGGTTAAGAGCAGATAAGTTCCTAATATATTTTGCCAGAGGCCAGAAGCGGTACGGCAGAACTGGTTCCAATACATTGGTTTGTAATGTTCTTCCAGTACGACGCCAGTAATTGTGAAGCAGAACTGTTACCTAATGGATTCGCTAGAGGCCAGTAGAAGAGTGTAACATATTTTTTTATTCTAAAAGCAATGTACTCTGAAAGAAAATGAAAGAACACAGTATTTTATTAAAATTTGCACCAATTACATTGAAAGTAGCAATCTTAAACACCGTGGTTTATGTAAAATGTATCTCTTTCATATGGATTGTATATTAGAAAGCCCAGGTGTTTAGCAAGTTACTGAATATTAAAATATTTAAAAAGCCAGTGGTAGGGAAAACTATTATATTACCCTGATGAGAAAATACCTATACAGCTGAGTATTCTCCTAGGTGCAAGTATTATGACTTAGTGGCATTTTTTTCACGGATTTACTCAGATGGCCAGGTTTAAATCCCTATTCTAGCATTTTTCTAGTCTAGTCTCTCTCCCCTCATCCCTCTCCGTCCTCTCTCTCCTTTCTCTGCTCGTCAGTGCTGTCTGTCTCTTCAATCCTTGATGACCAAACGAACGTAAAGTATTGTAGAAATGTTGTGGTAATGGCTGGTCATATCTGTTAGGGCCACCTTCGGGATCGCTTTGCGAGTACTTCCGTCGAAACACGAAGGATGAAAATAAATAGCTGGGCGCGCAGCGGAGCGCGCAAGGTCCTGGCCGTCCGGGATCTCCCAGGCGAGAGGGGCCTCCCTTTCGAATTGACGCCATTTCCTCCTGATGATTGTACTCAGATGGCCAGGTTTAAATCCCTATTCTAGCATTTTTCTAGTCTCATCTCTCCCCATCATCCCTCTGCCTCTCTCTCTCCTCTCTTTCTCCTCTCGTCAGTATGTCGTCGTCTGTCTCTTCATCTGTGATGACCAAATACGATCGTAAAAGTATTTAAAATGTGGTGTAATGCTGGGTCAATAGTCTTGTTAGGCCACCTTGGGATCGCTTCGAGTACTGTCCGTCTGAAACACGCAGGATGAAAAATAAATAGCTGGCGCACAGCGTGAGAGCGCAGCAAGTCTAGCCGATCCGGAGGATCATCCCTAGCGAAGAGGGCCTTCCTTTCGAATATGGACCCATTTCCTCCGCTAAGCCCTTCACATTATCCGAAATAAAAAGGAGACATTTCACGGGTTTATGCGACGGCGTCCGCGCGCGCCCGTAGCAGTATTTCATCGCCCGGGCGGGCGGGGGCGTAGGTGGGAAGGGGCGGGCCGCGCGGCGTGGAGGTTCCCCACCCACAGACGCGAGGGCTTCCCGCGGCGCGCTTTGTGGCCCGACAATGGCCGCTCGCGCGGCCACATCTCTCAGCGCTCAATCGGAACGGCATGGCACGGCGGAGGGGGCGGTGGCCGGGGTGGCGGGGGCGGCAGCGCGCGGCGGGCGGTGAGCGCGGGGTGAGCGGCGGCAGCGCGGCGGCGGAAGCGCGCGGGGCGGCGGCGCGGCGGTGGCAGCGGGCGGCGGTGCAGCGCGGTGGCAGCGGCGCGGGCAGGGGGCGTGGCGGGGCGGCGGGGGTGGCAGCGGCGGCGGGGATTGGCGGCGGCGGGGGGGCCGGGCGGCGGCCGGGTGGGCTGCCGGCGGGGTTGCGGCGGTGGGGGTGGCGACGGCGGTGGGGGTGGCGACGTGTGTGGGAGTGGCGTGGCGGGGGTGGCGTTGGGCGGGGGTGGCGGTGGCGGGGGTGGCGTGGCGGGGGTGGGTTGGCGGGGGTGGCGTTGGCGGGGGTGGCGATGGTGTGGGTGGCGATGGGGGTGGCAATGGCGTGGGTGGCGATGGCGGGGGTGGCGCCAGCAGGGGGCGCCGGCAGGGGTGGTCTCAGGGAGACGGTGGTGGGCAGGAGTGGCGTTACGTTAGAATACCGAAATCAGATATTTCATCAGATTTATGGGATGATGTAGCGAGTTCAATAAATGATACAATGTGCCAAACGACATATGTCGGATAATGCAAATAACTGATTTCGTTAGTTATACATCTTGGAAGTTGAAATAATATGAGGCGTAATTTCATCGTCATTTATGTCCGGATAAAGCGCGATATATTTATATCCGCTAAAGCCCCGGCCTTGTACGAGTATAGCAGTTTCTGCCTGGGGCGCGCCACGCTTTCGCCCCGATTGCTTTTGGCTCTCAGCAGGCACCAGATGAGTTGTGGGAGCGCCATGGGAATCTGCTTCACAACTGCAACCAGCTGTGAGAAAGTTTAAGTACAGATGTTTAAGTACAAATGAGACGAATTTAATTATTTTTACGCTGGCTAAGTATTATTTTCATAGTCCATGTCCAGTTTGATGTAAAGTTTTGGTAATTAAAATATCTTTCTTTCCTTTTCGTCCTAATATTTTTCGGTACATTACAAGCAAAATGATTCGTGTAAGATGAAAGGTAGATAATATGAACCTATATAATGGCATTCACGCAGTTATATTATATGTGCGTTTAGAGCAGATGCCACACTTCTTTATATGCTAAATCGTAAATACTTTTTGACGAGAACCACTGGTTGCGATGGGTCAGTGGCAAGCCCGTGCAACTGAGATGCAGCAACTTCGATCGGCAGGCTGTTGTGTACGAGTCTCGACGGTTGTCGAATGTGGACCCTAGCTGCAGACAGAGGTCGAAATCAGGCAGTGTCTGGAAGGCAATTCTAGCGTTATCTAGTCAGCCTTGGGTTCTCTTATCAACAACAGGCGAATGATTAAGGAGAACCAATTCGCGATGAATCGATCTCGATGTTTCCTTCACCATTCTCGACTTACAAGACTAGCGACGAAAGTAGTTGACGCGGGTGGAACCATATTTACGTCGGTGGAGGGAAAGTGAAAGCGGCCCGTTCGCAACCCTTTGCATTGTCTTCCACCACCTCATTACGGGCGCCACCGCTTCTGCTTTCGCAGGTCCTATGGTCACTCTCGGCAGAAAGTGCTCTTTGCTTCTCAGCAGGGATGTCACAACGACGTCGATGTTTTCAAATCATCGATGTTTCTATAAAAATATATAGACGTTTTAAACATCTATGTTTCGGTGAAAACATTTTTTTTTTAAATTCTATGTTTTTACGTTTTCAATGTTTTGGCCGTGAGTGAAAGATGCCCAAAATCACAAGTTTGTAAAAGGGCAAATAAGAAACAATAAATAATGGCAGCAATAATTGTTGGTGTTCTATCGAAACGAACGCGGTTTATTCTATCTTCAACGAACAGACTCCCATCTCTCGCTCGAGATGATCCAGATGGCCTAGTATTTCCTTCGTCTTTCTTCTATTTCGCACGTGCAGAATCGTTGTATAACTTGATTTTCAGTTAAATTGTAAGTATAAATTAATAAGCACGGCCATTCTTAAATCAATGTTTTTGTCATTTAAGGTCGCATCAACTACTAGGTCATTAGCGACCACTATTGCGTGTAACAGTATGGTAACTATGAGGATGACACGATATGACAGTGATGTGAAAGGCGGAACACAATACAACCATGTCCGAGGCGGGACTGGAACCCGCGATCCTTCGGTCCGAGATCGCTACGACACTACTGCCTTAACGACCTCGGCCATCCGGACCGGCAAATTAAATTTGGTTGCGCACGAATTTAAAGTTAAACTTTAAATCATCGATGGTTTTTGATCGATGTACTATTAATTATTCGGCAACATGAGTGTTTTCTTGTCGCTGTCGCACCCCTCCTTCGCAGGCGTCATTCCGCTGCGCCCCGAGCGAGGTGCGCAGCTTCACGCGGGCAGAGCTCATTAGCGCCCGCGCGGGCCGGGCGGAAGCGGGGCCGGCCCGTCGTCGGAGGCCGCGCCGCGCCGCGCCTCCCCCGCTTGGGGCGAAGCGTGATTTACGCGCGTGGCACAGGTGCGCGCGGCGGTGGGAGCGGAAGCGCGGCCGCGGGATGCCCCGATCGCGAGACGCGCCCTTTGTCGCCCGCGGGCGGGGGCGGGGGGGGGGCGCATTGTCAGCGCTCCGCCCAAAAAGTCCGCGAGCTCTCAAAGGAAGACGCGCGAGAAGACCCCCGCGCGGGAGAGGGGAGTTGATGTGTGAAATGACGACGCCTTTGACCGCGCTGCAGCCCATTCGCAGGCCCATTTACGAAGAAATCGTTTCTCGCCTTCGCCGGGCGTAGTCAGTACTAGGACAGATCATTATTCTGGGGGCAAAATTTGTGATCAATTGCAATTGCAAAGAAAAAATGGTAGAAGAAATTGAAGGTTTGATGCATGCCAGATGCGTACATCAATGTCTACATCCTGTATATAATATTTGTATTAACTTATCCCTAATTGTTTATTACTATAATTTATTTCGAATTTTAACTCTGTGGATGATCGCTATGCGATCGAAACGATCATCAGCCAAAT